AAACTTAAAATATGTTTCTTAATATTTTTCTTCCTATGAGCAACATTCAGAAAGACCAGTGTAAAATGGAAGGCCGTATCTGAGGCCATATCTATATCTATATCCAAATCCTTGCTCTATCACATACTCTGATACTATGTGACCTTGGATAAATTATTTAAACTTTATGTGTCTTTTTTTTTGGGGGGGGGGTAAAGTGGGGATAACAATCCTCATTCATGGGATTGTTGTGAGACTTTTTTAAAATATGTAAAGTATTCAAAAAATTCCAATTACAAAGTGTTGAATCAAATAAGAGCAGCTTTTATTCTATCACCTTTACATCTACTATCTGATATGAAAAAAATAGACTCAATAGTTGGTGGCTGAATTCAAGAATGAATAAAATTTGAATGAATAAAGATTATTATACCTGTCCCTAGCCAACTGGTTTCATTTGAATCGTGATTTTTTCCTTGTCTCTTTAATGTTAAACATCTTCCCACACAGAATGTAGAGAGTAGTCTGYTTTGAAGGGCTCCTTTTTCCAGGCCAAAGATGTAAAAACAGTGATTACTATCATCTTAGCTTCTTGCATTCTATTAAAATGCCTCTTAAAACCATAATATGTATAAGCAAATTAATTAACTCATTTAGTTTTAAAGAATCAATCTTTTTAAATGGTTACTTTCTGTTACTTTCCAAAGTAGATGGCTATTTCCAACTAACGAACAGTTAAGTCAACAAACGAAAGAGAGATGTTGCCATTTTTAATGCACCTTTAATTCAACAAAAAATACTGCAGTCTAATGAATCCAAAGGTGAAATAAAGAAAAATGAAGACATTATAATTGTTTAAATGGCCCATTGTCCTGCTTCAAACACAGGGACTTTTAAACAGGAATATTAAGTCAGACAATAATAAAATATACCAATACATTATACATTCAGAATTAGAAGTAATTTTCATGAAGGTTCACATGCTTTTATTAAGGACATAATTAATAAGGACATAATCAAGAGCAGAAATATTTTTAATTTCTCAGGATCAATACACTTAAATCCTACTTAATAATAGCCAACAATTAAAGGGCATTTCATACTGCTCAAAGCTTTGGTATATATTATTGCAAAAAAAAAAAAATACTTCTGTTTGTTTCCCAGAAAGAAATAGAACTTTCAGGAAGGGCAGGGAGCCTGCAAATTGTTGGATTAACTGCTTGGGACAATGAGTACTACAAGGTGCTTTTCCTAGTAAAAATGTGTTCAAAACCCAAAGCTAACTTACTCAAAAAACATCAGGTCAGTGACATTAATATCTTTTAGCAGGTGAGGCTCCAAGGAACCCAGTGGCTAGCTTACTGAAACTAATAATAAATGCTGGTGAGGATGCAGGGGAAAAGGAACACTTATACATTTTTGGTACTACAACCACGATGGAAATCAGTGTGGAGATTCTCAAAAAAACAGGCCTGGAACCACCAAATGACCAAGCTGTACCTCTCCTTGGTGTTTCTCCAAAAGAACTAAAATTACCATACCATAGCAATACATGCATACCCATATTTATAGCAGCACAATTCATAATAACCCTATTATAGAATCAGCCTAGGTGTCTGTCAACAGATGAATTAATAAAGAAAATGGGGTATATATACATAACAGAGTTTTAGCCATAAAGAAGAATGAAATTATGTCATTTGCTGGTAAACAGATGAAACTGAATGATATCATGCTGAATGAAATAAGACAGACTCAGAAAGTTAAGGGTCAGATGAGGGAGTTATAGAGAAATAAGGAAGTAAAAAATCGAACTCATGAAAACAGAAGGAAGAACAGTAGAGTAGGGCAAGGGAATTATGGGGGAGAGAGAAGGGGAAGGAGGAGGAAGGACTAGGAATGAAATCATTCAAACTATGCTATGTGCATGTATAAATGGATCACAGTAATTCCCACTTTGACATATAATTATAATGTACCAATTAAAAAAATAAATCAAAGTATGTGTCAGTCAGCTTTCCATCACTGTGATCAAAGTATCTGACAAGAACAATTCAGAAAAAGAAAAGTTTATTTTAGCTCAAGTTTCAGAGGTTCAGTCCACGGCTGGCCAACTCCATTGCTCTGGGGCTGAGGTGAAACAGAACACTTCAGTTCACTGCATCCCAGAAGCAGAAAGTGAGGGAGAAACTAGAGATAAAATATAATGCCCAAGGGCACCTCCCACCACCACCACCACCGAACGGCTTCTTCTAGCCTCACCTCATCTGCCTATAGTTACCACCCAGCAATCCATTCAGATTCCTAATCCTCCAAATGGATTAATCCATTGATTAGGTTATAGTTTACATAATCTAATCTTCTTTGTTTCCCAACATTTGCAACATTGGATATTGTGTTTCCAATATTTGAGGTTTTCAGGAGACACTATATATTTAAATTATAACGATGGGAGTAGCGTAGAGTAGAGGTAAACGTTAAGGGGGAGGAAGGAGGTGAGTGAAGGGGAAGTACTGAGAAATGAAATGAGCAAATTATGCTATTATGCTATATGCATGTATAAGAATCCCACTGTTATGAATAATTATAATTTATCATAAAAACATTAAAAATTATAACTTTAATGCAGCCATGAGGAAACATCAAACAGAGCCAAATTAAGAAACATTCTACAAAATACCAGTTTTATAGCTTTAAAAATATCCAGGTGAAGAAAGACAAAGATTATAGAACAGTTTCAGAATAAAGGAGACTACTCAAGATGTCTGCAGATGATCAAAGCACAGTACCTAGGCACAGCCTGACCCACATTCCCCCAAAGTTCACATTCAAGGCCTCAATCCCAGTGACCAAACTTAAGAGACGGGGCCTTTAAAGTGGTACCTAAGGCAAAACAATGTCCTATGTGTGAATCAATCCAACATGTGAAGAGGCAATCAGGACCCAGAAATATTACACACACAGGAAAAACCACATCAGGACAGAGTACAAGGGGGTAGTCGTAAGCTGAGAGAGAAAATAACTTTCTGTTGTTTAAGTCACTCAGTCTTGTATCCACTACACAGACCAAATAATCTAACACAGTACCAATGGTGACTTCTTTTTTTTTAATTTAACTTTTAATTAATTAATTATATGGTGCTAAAGATTGAACCCAGGCCCTTACCCCTGCCCGGAATTGCTCTACTATTGAGCCACAACCCCACCCCAAATGTTGACTTTTTGGTGTTTTTAAATGTGTAGTAGGAATTCAATGTATTTGATTTTAGAAAGTACAAGCTGAAGCATTCTGCATTTCTAGACATTGTGTCTGAGACAATCTCAGCTCAGAGAGAGACAGTTACTAAGAGGGAAAGAGAAGGAGAAAGTGCAAAAATGATACACATCATAACTTTGGGGGAATAAGGCTAATGGTATAAGTAGATTCTTTGTACTATTTTTGCAATGTTGCTTTTGATCTGAAATTACTTCAAAATTATAACTGTAGAAAAATGATGCTAAATCCCCTTTCATTTTAACAATATGTAAAATCCATGAAGGATATATTAACTATTGCTGTTTTAAGGCATACACATCTCATTAAAAATATCATTTTCCATAATATTTTTACTTTTTATTCTGGAAAATTACCCAAATTTTGTGATACAGTTATATTGTTCTGACATAACATATTGGTAATAATATATACAATATATATTATATATGTGTATATATATAATGTATGTACATATATATATATATATATATATAATCACAATTAATAATGAATTTTTACCACTTACTATACATGTTTGTTTTAGAATATTCTCAGAATAATAAAATACTCTAAAGCATAAAATATTAGAATACAATTTTGTTAAATACTGTTCAGAGAGTAAAACAAATAGTGTTTAATTTTCCAATCATAAGGTCTTGTTGTGGTTTTAAAAAAAAAAAAAGACAACAGAGTTACTTTAGTTCTTAGATTCCATTTCAAAATGAGGAATAGTCAATATTCAAAATATACTAAAATTAGATGTTCTGCAACTTTTAAACTAAATAAGAAAAAAATAAGCTGTCCATGTTTTTATTTATGAGATACATATAGATACTGATAATATCTGAAGCAAAACTTTTTACAACTGTACTGATTTATTTTTGATGAGCTGAGTAATAATGACCCAGGATGGTGTAAGGGAAGTGATGGGCATTCTTACCCAATATCACTGATGGGATTAAAATGATTTTCCAGAGTCACCAGAGTTGGATTTAAAAAATTTTAAAAATATTTGCTCCTAGTTATTTCTCAACTATTTCCGTGAATTATATGCATGCTTCTACAGAACTTAGTCCTATTCCCAAAAAGCAATTTTTCTAAGTTATTAAGATGGTAACTCCCATTTCTTCTCATTTACCTTTACAGAAGGGTTATTAAATTTCAGAATTCTAGTAAAAAGAATTATTAGGGTTCATAGAATACTAAATGGTTCAACTCATTTAAAACATAACAATATAAAAGAAAGAACATCAAAAGATCTCCTGTGAAGACAGACCCCTGCTCCTCTTCAATGAAGAGGGCAGGACCCAGCATGGATTAAATGGGCCAACACTCAGGACTCCTCTGGAAGGACTCAGGGAAGAGGTGGTTAACTCTTTCTCACAAGCAACACTTCCCTGGTTGGTGTGAAAAYAGCAGTTACCAGCTAACATTCTATACACTCTCAAATGCAGTGCAAACAACAAACACGAAGGGTTTCAATAACACTTTTCTTATTCATTTCAGCARATATCATGAAATGTAAGTCTGATGTTTAAACAAATCTTACCTAAATATTAATTTCATTTTTACTTTTAACAAAACTCATACCTTGAAATAAATGCAAAGTATCAGGAGATTTTTTTTAAGGCATTTCCTAAAATATGTACAACTAGGAATCATTTCTCCTAGTTTGTAAAGAAACATAAATGGAAAACACTGCAAGTGGCTTTACTGGACATTAATATCCAGTATATAGTTAAATGATATTTAAAGCAGCACTTACATTAGCACAGTGTAAGGCCAAAGCACAGAAGACAGCGAACATTTTGAAGTTGTTCTCGTCGGTCTTGGAGAAGGCACTGCCGCTGATTTTGTTCACCATCTGCACCACGCCTATCACACTCCCCCGACTCACGATGGGCATGCACAGGATGTTGCGGGTAGTGTAGCCTGTGTACAAGTCCACCTCCCTGCAAAGCGAAGGAGCAAAGCCATGACCACAAGGAAAGAAACAAGTAGAAAAAGATTAAACCACTCACTGCCTCCTAAGTCTCAACTCAGATATGCAATGGAGACGCTGTGAGCCTCTAAATTTAGGGACAAGCTAATATTTGAAAGTGTTTTATTAGAACTTTTTCAGAAATATTCTAACTTTTGTTTTGTTTTGTTTTGTTTTCACAACTGTCTCTACAGGAGGATTCTGCTCTTATTGGGTTTTTAGCATCCAGCATAATTGAGTCAACAGACAAGAGAAAAAACATTATAAATGTGGTAAAGTGATTTGTTCCTTTGAACTTGGGCCTATTTGTGAGATCTAACTTTTTAAACCATAGGCCTGTTTAGCCAAAACTACTTACTWGCTGGCCATTAATAAATAAAAGTTTGCTTACTCCTGCTCTAAGGAAATGTTTTTAGAAATAGGATAGAATTCCATAGAAAGAGCCATGTACCCAACACAGGCAGTTGGTAGCTGCAGTCCTTAATGCCCTCATGTTACACACAGTTCTTGAGATTCACATGTCTGTCAGTACTTGTTATTACTGCATAGTTGCCCCTACTGAATGAATAAACCACATTTGTTTATCCATTTATCAGTTAATGGGAAACATTATTTGCTATTAGCCAGTGTCAGTAATTATGGATAATGCTGGCTTGAAGATCTGTATACAAGTTCTTTGGATAACATATGTTTTAGTTTTTCTTGCAGTAGTGCCTGGGAGTGGAGATGACGGATGGATTATACAGTGGGTGTATGTTCAAATTTCCAACAAGTTGAAAGACTGTTTACCTAAGGAGTTGTACCATTACACATTCCCACCAGCAGAGTCTGAGAGTTTCAGTTTATCCACACCCTTTCCAATCCTTGCTACTATCAGTATTTTATAATCTCAACCATTTCACATTGGCATGTAGTAGGATCTAACTGACATATGTACACCCTACTCACTTCCCATGTGTTTAACAGCCATATGAATATTTTATTTTGTAAAGTGTCTCTTAAAATTGTCTCCTTTTTATTAAATTGCAATATCTTAATATTTAGAGGAGTGTTTTCATATTTCAGACACAAATGTTTTGTCAGATATATGTTTTGCCAATATTTTCTTTAATCAGTTAATTTTATTTTCATCTTCTTATAGTCCGACCCACAAATTTTTACATAAATATTTTACATAATATAAATATTTTCAACATTTAAACACTGATTTTCCTGAAAAAATAAGATTTTTATTATTCTTAATTTATTGATAAAGTATATTATAGGAATATAGCTGTGCTTATATGACTCATGAATATTTGACATTAATCAATTAATTCCATGAAAAATCTTGGCATTTCTTGCATCATTTATCTCCTAAAGTAAGACAAATGTTTGTATTAACTAAGCACTACTGTCACTATATCTAAAATATTACTCCCTACCAGTCATAGCCTCCTCAATTTCTAGAAATTTATTAAAACCATATTTTGTAATTTGGTTTCTAGTACTCTAAAAGAAAATCAAAATGAAATAAAACTCTTTTCAGCTATCTTAAAATCCAATTTTAATAATATACAATAAAATCTATGGTTTGTTAGGTTTCTACTTTATGTCTTGTAAAGTTTCTAAACTTTTTAACAAGCATTATCCATAATCTTTAAAAAAAAAGACTACAATAAAGGCATTATTGTACTTTTTTTGGATTTTTTTTTTGTAGTGTTAGATGGACAGCATGCCTTTATTTATTTATTTTTATGTGGTGCTGATAATGGAACCTAGTGACTCACACATTGAGAGGCAAGTGCTCTACCACTGAGCTATAGCACCAGTCTTATTAAACTATTTTAAAGATAAGGAATGAGACTCAGAGCTGACTASAAAATCACACAACCATAATTTAAAAATCAGACCTGTCAGTATCAAAAGTATATAATTTTATCAGTATGTATTGTGTAGCACTTTAGCATATTATTCGATAGAGAATATGGTACAAGATGATGATACTATAATGAAAAAAACCAGCAGSGATCCATCAGTTGAAACTCCTGCCTATTTGCTGTTTTTATAACAATATAAACAACTCTAGCTTTGACACTGTTACATATTAGTCGCTGAGAATCCATTACTTCATAAATATCTGAATATACCACCTGTTAGTAATAGGACTGGTTCCCAGCAAAAAGGAAAGAACTGATGGAGTTGAGACATGTAGGACTGGAGCTGTCCAGAAGACATTTCAACCAAGAAGAATGTTAAGGGAGAAACTGATTGTTTTTACCTGTTGAAGCGTGGATCCGCATAGGCATCTGGAATGTTCAGGACTTCCCCTGTTCTTGCTACTTGACCAGCGATTCCTTTCTCGATTGAAAATCTGCATATGTAAAAGAGAGAGACACACTAATTGAAATACTACTGATACAGAATAATTCTGAAACACTTCATTACCATCAAGCATTGAGCTGAAAAGTCTTGTTTCATTTTAAATGATCATGTTAATTTTACATTTACATATCCTAAACTATCTTATAAAACATGTAAAAGTAAAGCAGAAAAACATTACACAGTGATCACTTGAGACTTTTAGGATGTATATCACAGTATAACGCAATTTAATTGGTTCACAAATACAAATTTAAAATTAAGCAGTGATCGCCAGCATTGACCAATAACAATAATCCCTTATACATGTAAAGTACCTTATAACTTACAATATGTTTCACACAAATTTTCTTAGTATAGTCTCAATGACATGGGATTTGAGGCCTAGTAGTGTCATAATAAAAACTAGAATACAGGATGATGAACCAGCCCTATTACAGCAGTTGGTATATTTAGAAAACGATGGATTCTCAAGAGAGCATAGCACCATGCTTTCCACCACATGTGGAACCAAATTCAGAGGTCAGGTCTGAACTTTGAGGTGTTCAGGACCTGGATTTTCTGTTGTTTATAACCCAAGTACTATTTAGAAATTTAAATGTTGTTACATTTAAAAACAATCAAAAGTAAATCATTAACTGATTATATTTAATTACACTTTTGTTATCTACATCAGTATTTTTCATTTTTGTTATCAGTATCAATATTTTCATTTATAAATAAGTTATAACATTAATAATTATTTTTCTTATTACTATATTATCACCATACATGCATTCATTTCAAAATTTAGTTAAGATGTCTATAGTTCACAATATCTATGACTTTCAGTAGTTCAAAAATAATTTCTATAATACCACATTATTAGCATTATAGGAAATAATCATTTCTGAAATGAAGCTTCTCCTTAAGGATTATCAAGAAAAGTCAAAAGACACATGACACAAAAGAGAATTAAAACACCAAACAAGTAAACCATGCATAAACTCCAAGTTGTCTGCTTCCTTGTTTTCTTGTGCTTTGAACAACAGGAACACAAGTTAGACTGCAGTGAGGGCCATTTCACCAGGTATGCAAGTGAGTCTGTCTGCTGAGAGCAAGTGGACACCTCTCACTGGAGCTGAGGGAGAAGCCCATGTTTAAGGAGCATGCTCTGACAGTCATGCTGGATCCATCCAGGCATCAAAGTCAGGCAACCACATGCTCCTTTTTMCTGTGCTCATCAACACAGGCTTTAAGTTACTAATTTCAAAATCGGATCAGTTCCAGGAGTGAGAGAGAACACTTGGACCTTAAGAAAGAAATGGCTTTAAATAAGCTACTGTACYGAGGCTGACAAAGAAAACAAGAAACCAAATTTTAAAACCCAAAACACCTACATAGTGTCCATAAGTCAGAACTATGTGTCAGGAATTCTGGAACTATCACCTAGAAACAGAACTGGAGTACCAGTGCAGACAATGGAGACGCCACATGGCAGGCCACACTTCCATGTGACAGACTGTCAAATGAATGGCAGTTCTTAACGAATGAGGAACAGTATCTTACTGGAGAACATGCAGTATTAGAGAAGAGTAGTTGAACAAGACACATAAAGCCAAAATAACCCACAGTTTGAAGGGGACCCCAACCTGTGCCTGCCAAGCCTGGTTCTAAAGTCTGTGACAGTGCTCCTTGCAGGTTTCCAGCTTGATAAGCCTGAGCCAAGGTCTTCCACCAACTAGTAACCCTCATGCTGTTCATTTATGTGACAATAGCTGCCACATAAAGAACAAAGAAGGTTTTAGTCTCAAAATGGAATGAAAGTGTGTTGATTAAACCAATGGATAACTGAATGTGTTGAAGTCATCAGTACACCAGATCAATTTCCTGTAATATTGGGACTGTGAGACAGTCCATATGCTGGGAAGAGGTGGGGGCCGAATTGGTTAAGCTCACCCTTGCTCCTAAACATGGGAGAACCTGCAGACTCCAGGTGGAGTATACTTTACCTACCTGGGAGCACTAGTAAGTTTTTCCAACATGATTTCCAAAAGGACCGCCTCCGGAAGACGGCATTTCCAGGAGTGACGCTAAAGCTTCCTAGGCGTGGTTTCGCTGGCACTGCAATGTCATTCCCAGAAGTACTACCTTCAGGAGGCGGGTCCTGGTGGGAATGATATCACAGTATGACAAGTATTGTCAGCATACCTGTGAATAGGCACAGAAAAGTGGGTAACAGAACACCTGCACATTTGTGATCAGAGCACAGGACGCTCACTCCAGCTGTACCTTATCTCTTTGGTCTTCTTGAAGACAGGCTTTCCTTCCTTTTCCTCTCCAATATCAAAAAGATCTGAATACAATTCCTTGTTCTTATGGTCTACCTGGAAGAGTGCACAACGRTCGGCATTCACCAGGTTTTTTGCATATATCTAAAGAAAAAAGGCAAAACAAGGGTAAGCCAATAAGAAGGTTCAGAGACTTTATGGTAACCTTTATTATGAAATTATTAGTTTCAGCTATTCTATACTCTGAGTAGGAAATCAGCATTATAAGTAAACAAAGATATAATTATAAAATATATGTGTGTGAATATAGATAGTGTATAAGTGATTGCTATGTGCTAATACTAGTATATAAGAACAAAAAATAACCGATGGCACCTACACTGTTTGTGCTGGATGTTGAAATGCTAAGACACTGACACTGCTTGGTGAACTGCTACTGGCCTGACTTCCAAGATCCAAGCGCTCTTCCAGAAACTCTTAGACCTCTCCTGATGCTCTGCTCTGAGCCTCCATCAGCACTAAAGCCACACTGCACTGTGACTAATTGGTGTCTGTGAATAGCAGTTATAAAAATATGAAATATGACCTCTAAAGAGACCTACAGTTTGATATTTGTAATAGCTGAATTTATTTCCTACAGTGTCAAATACTTTGTAACAATTAAGTATTGACCATAGGTCAGACATATTTTACATTTTATATGCATTGCTTTACTTAATCCTCACAATAACAATATTAAGTTGGGGAAATATTTTTATCCTTATTACGAAAACTAAAGCACTGATAGGTTACCTAACCTGTACCTCTATGGCTACTAAATGGTGGATATTTAGATTCATACTAGYTGTTTCCATTGCCCACACTTTGATAACAAATATGCACTTCCACTGCTAAATGGAAAATGGTGTATTCATTTCATATTTCATTTATTCAATCATTTCCTACAACTGTAGTGTATGCCTTTTACAAAAAGTCTGCCAACCCATGGCTTTACTACTAAAAGTTCTCCATAAACTACTACGACTCCTTACGGAAGGACGAACGGTATAAAAGTAGCAAGAGAGAGAAGAGACTCGAGTTGTTGGCAAATATGGAAGAATCGTGAGATTCTGAATTATTCAGTGATGATAATGAGCCTCTATATCAAAGATTCCATTATAACCAATTAAGTTTATAACTCTAGTGCCCAAGGTCTTATTTATTGCTTAATGCATATTTCAGCACCAAATACACTGATTTCTAAAAATCTGGATGATATGGATAATTTTCTAGAAAAAATAAGTTAAAGAAGGGATTGAATAATACGAATCAAATAGAATCATAAAGATGATTTAAAAATTRCAAAAGAAGCAACCCCATAAAAGAAAGAAGGCCCAGAGTTTCAATCATGAATTCTTTAAAAATCTTCAACAGCCAGGTGCTGCAATCCCAGAAACCTGACAGGCTGAGACAGAAGGATCACAAGTTCAAGGATAGCCTTGGTAACTTAGCAATACTGTTTCAAAATACAAACGAGCTGCCAATGTAGTGCCGCAGTCTGGCTGGGCACAAAATCACGAGCCACTCAAGCAGGAACAAACTTTAGTTTTTGAAACTGCCTCCAATGCCCCATACGCACCCGGGAAGATTAGGCGGCATTCTCCCAGAACCCCAGAGGAAGTTCCTCCCCCGGAATTCCCTCCTACTGCACTTCCCCAACCAATGGGAACTCTCCAGGAATCCTGTAGCAGGCCGAGGTGGACAGCAGGAGTCCAATATCCATATGAATGCAAATCTTAACATAATCATATCATCTCAATGGCTAGCTGGCGTCACCTTTCAACCAAAAATGCCATGCCTCATATTACTTGGCTGTGGCTCTTAGCAATGTAGTTCAGTGGCGGGGTACTTGTCTAGCACATGTGAGGCCCTGGGTTCCATCTCCAGTACCGCAAAAGAAAAAACAAAAGTAACAACAACAAGAAAATCCAACAAATTCCCATGAATTTGAACTGCTCTAAATTTAAAAAAAAAAAAAAAATGAATAAAATTTTTCAGTTTTTAAAATTTTATTGGTCTTTTTAGTTAGACATGATAGCAGAATCCATTTTGATTATATTATACAAGCATGGAGTATATCTTATTTGAGGTTAGAGTTCCATTCTTATGGATGTACTCGATGGTGGAATTCTCTGTGATGTTTTCATATATGTACATGGAAAAATTATGTCAGACTCATTCTACTGCTCTGTCTATCTCCACTCCCTTCCATCCATTCCCCATTATCTATGTCACTAATACTGACAAGGAACTATAAAAACAAAATCATAGATTTTCAATTTACCTTAGAAACATTAGAAAAATAATAAATAAAAATTAAAATAAACCACATTTTTCAAAATTAACAAATGTTAAAATATTTTAAAATATATTTTATTCAGAACTTTTCAGTATCATAAACTCTACTATAATTCATTACAGCAATAAGACAAGGAGATTATCACCCTGGCTGTCAAAGGTATGTGATGCAATTCAACCATCATTCATGATAAAAACTACACCATATTAATAATCTGTAAGGACAAGATAAATATATGATGTCAATTAGACAAGAAAAGGATATGTGGAGTATACATATCTAAAGAGGTCATGCTCATAATGTTTTTGCATAGGTAAAAAAAAATCAAGAAAATCAATCGAAAAACAACTACAGGTAATAAGAAAGACTTTAAGATGAGAAACTCTAAACATATATTTACCTTTTCACTCTCCCCAGAGGCTCAGTTTGAAATGAACCTCAGATACTGAAAAGGAATTCAAAATTACCTAGAAATGTTTTGGTACTACACCAAGTCAAGTACTATACATTCATGYATCAGGCAAATTTAAGATATTTTAGAATGGTACTCAGGACACTACTAACATTTGGACTATGTTGGAAAAGGGGATGTGCTCAAACAAAAATATATAAACACACAAATATGAGAAAGCAAGGAAAGGTGGGTTCCAAGATATGAACAAAGAGATCATCAAAATTATAATGAAACTGTAAAACTTGTTAGTAAACAGTATCTAAGAAATTCCAGATGAAATGATAACAGGATAAAGGACATACCTAAAAGGCGATATGTGTGCTTATAAACATTCATACATCCAAAAATATATAAGGGAGAAGGTAAGAAGGGTGAAAAGGAGGTGAAAGTGTACATTTTTCTATCCTTTTGTGAAGGGGTGACATGATATAGACATTGATGGTTTGTTGATCTGGACAGAAATCTTGACTTTAAATGTCAGCTTATGGCTAACAGGGCTATCAGTGTCACATGGTGAGAGACTGACTGATAATAAGGACGACACAGAAGTAAGTTGAATGGGGAAACAAAGGCAAACATATCCCTGAAAATATAGTTTGAGTTCTCATGCCCAGTAAATGTAGAAGCCTGACTGTCCAAAGGCTTTTCAGTCACACCAGCCAGTAAATTCCTGTTTATTCACTCAAGTAGGTTTAATAAATAAAGTTTTCAGATAAGAGAATATAAAATGTCAATAAATTTAAAAATTTAATTTAGAAGTCCTAATTCTCTGAGTCTTAACTAGCAGCTGGCCACAGAGCATCTAAACGCAAGTGGCGGCCTCTCTTGTTTGCTGCTAGGAGCAGGGAAAAGAAGGTACTCTTGGCATCCAATTCTCAAGGACAATTCTGCTAAGGATAAACTTCTTTACCAAAAATGTCAGTATTGCCCACTGAGAAACAGTGAACTAGATGAAATGATCACCCAGGAATTAAAATATAATCTAAATTTGCTCATCAAGAAATCTTATATATTATCAAAAGGCCTCTCAAAACATTTTAAACTCATTTCCGTCTCGTCTCTCCTAACCCAAGGTTATCTTTTTGAAACATAAATCTAGCAGCTTAAACACGTCTCTGGCTTAAAAACCTTGAAGGCAATACCTGCTCCAGGCCTGATAACTTGGCCTTCCAGGAGGAATCTTTCTGCACAGGAATGGACTGCTCCCTGCTGTCCACTCCTGTTTCTGCCTGCCTTGCTTTGTCACATCCGTACATCCCTGGACTTGGGCCACAGCATCAACAAAGCCGCCACAAGCTCCCCAAAAAGATCAGCTCTGCTTATCCCCAGCTTTCCAAGCGCTAGGTTTTGCCCCTTCCCAGCTCAGAACCAAGGCAATTTTACCTTCGCATGACCTTCTGATTCATGTCCATCTCCCCTCCTAGATTATAAGGATCACAGCTAGAGGAGGGTAGAGACTTTTGAGGTTTTGCTCACCATTTTATAACCCAATTTACTACCTATCAGAGGAATGTAACAAAAACTCACGAAATACAGAAATGGGTGAGTGAATTCTAAAGATTCCAATGCCATAGAGAACACAGCAAGGAAAACTGAAGACCTATACCCTAAGAAAGAAGCCCTAATAGTTTTACAGCCAATTTACATCAAACCATAAGAAATAAAGGATTCACGTGTTATTTGAAGCACTTTAGTCCACAGAAAAGAATGGAATGCTTCTCATTTTATAAGTACAGAATAACTCAGTACCGATGCAACATTGTGACTAAAAAAAAGGAAACTATAGAGCAATTTAGTTATGATCACAGATGAAAAATTTGAAAGCAAATATTAACAACCCGTCTAGGAGTTAAGAATCTATTACTACTAAATAGGCTTTAACCCACGAATGTAAGACTGGTTCAATGCCTGGTAATAATATAATTTCCTACTGAATACTTTAAATGGAWGAATTATATGGTATGTCAATTACCTCTAAATAAAGCTATTTTTTAAATGTAATAATAAAGGGTTAATTTATTAAGTGATTAATAAGTGCTTCTATGCCCCTAGTACAAGCTCTATGTCAGTCCACATTATATCTTTACATTTTTATCTACTTCTTAATAATTCCCTGCTTTACAAATTCATTAAAATTTGTCAGAATCAGACAAAGCTATTTTTTTTTTACTATCCATCAATTATTCTTTTTTATTTTGTCCAGGAAAAACCATCAAGATAACTGACACTATAAAGAATACACTGAAATTCATAATCCCGAATATTCCTGTCTAACTGCCTTTAGCAAATATTGTCTCTTCAGACATAGCACAGTCTAAAAAAAGCAGACTACTATGCACCAGTAAACCTCTAGATGGAGAAACTCCTACTGCAGAAGATTACTGTACTCTGAAATAAATCAGAAAATTCAGAAGAAAAATGAGCTTCCACCAAAGCACAGAGCAGGGCTCAAGTGGTGTCATCCCCAGGCACCACACATTGAGTGTGAGGACTGGAACCATTTAGATAGGGAGGGCCTCAGCGTTAGAGCAGGAGCACTGGGAAAGATGGCGAGGGCTCTGCTCCACAGAGCTTTCAGCTCACGGTGCCTGCTGACCTCTTAGGAGAGAAATAATTGAGATTAAACTGAGTAGAATAAAATTTAAGAGAATCCACTGGGACTCTCCAATATAACCTACATGGAAGAGATGTTTGGGAGAATATAAAGAGGAACCAAACTCTTTTCAAAGTACAGTTCTCCATTAAATAAAAAAAAAGCTGAGATATTTTGTAAAATGTTATCCAAATTTCCTCCCCCAGATTTCAAGAGAAGTGACAAACAGATGTACACAGATTTTGAAGCACCACATTTTCATATTTCATAGAGCATGTATGTCTAATACACATAAAACACTATTAAGATGTGGATCTAACGATTAAATAGAATCATTTTCAAGACAAAAGGCTACCTACCATGATGTGTTCAAGTAGAGAATCTATTGCGACTATATTATCAAAATATGTTCTGAAAAAAAGCAACATAATCTAATAAGTAATTTCCTTTAGATCACAGTACACAGTAAATTTGGAATGCATTTTCTGGATTTGTCTATAAAGGTAAAGACATATATCATTTGATTTTTTTTGTAGAAAAACATTATTACTTGAAGATACAAATCAAACTTACTGCATTCATAGAAAGACTAATTCCAGCTATTATATTTGTAATTACATTAGTGCTAAGTACCAAAATGAAGAGAAAGCTGAAGAATTTCAATAACACTAACCAGGACTAAAATTGGACCAACCATATTTAATATTCTCGTGAATTAATTTTTATTTAATGACCTGAAATAAAAATAACYGTCCTAAATCTCATCAATATGGTTAAAATGTAAATTATCACTGAAAGGCTGCACTTAAAAGTTGCTTTCATTGTATTGAGAAAGCAAGAGAATTCATTTGAGAAGAAATATCAGAATACAAATAATGATTAAGATCTAATGACTATATAAATAAAACACATCCCCATTATTACAAATGGCAAGTAAATGTTTTAGAGGTATATGGCATATTTATTAAAATGTAAACCTCAAAAAGATGAGTCAACTGGCACAGGTTATAGGAGAATATAGACAAGCACACACTGCTTTCAGTTCAGGTGTCTATAAATTTAGCAATATTCTCACAGTTAATGACTTTGATTTAAAGGAAAAATTATTCAGCTTCAAATTACTGAGACTTAGAACATACTTGACTACACTGTACTCCGAAAGAATACGCTACCTAAAGAAGATGGGGACTCAAATGAATTTCCTATTGGGGAAAAACAGGAGGGAATAAAGTGTCACATCAGACATCTGGTTGATTTTGGAACAACTGCAAAATATGCAAATACATTAGCCAAGGAAGGTGCAAAAGTTTCCTTTCTATGTGCTTTGAAGTAATAAAATCATGTGTCCTGGAGATATAATGTTGAATTCTGTTTTCAAGCAGGTAAATCAGCTTAGATGACCAAAAATAAAGCTTCTTCAAGTCCACATTTCCCTCAGTTTAGTTTTCAAAATATAGGTATAATGTGAACTCGCACATTCTATTTGTGAAGACTGCAGTATTTTTTGGTGGGTAAGACTGCTATGTGTCACTACAGAGATGTGCAGAGATAATACACCTTGAAACTGCTACTGAGGCCAAGACAAACAGGCAACCTTTCCTTTAGTACATGCCTGGGAGGACATGACCCCAAGTTACCATGTCTGGGACATGTTTTAAGTTTCAGTGATTTATGAGAAGTCAGATATATAGAAGATCTCCCATGTATCAAGCAAAACCAATAGGAAAATGAGTTCAATAAATACTTATCTATAATTGCTTTCATTACTAGTTCGAGGGAGTTTAATATATGTCTAAATTCAGGGAAATTGAACATTTTCTCAAAAAAGTATCAGAGACACTATACACAGAAAAGTTAGCAATAATAACATTACTAATCTTGTTTAAACTGACATTGTTAGAAAACTCTAAAAAGGATTACTTTTTAGGGAAAAATATTTAACTATATTTTCTCTCCTTCTGTCTGTATTCTCTTACAAAAAATACTCAGTAGCTTTAATATGTTCTAAGAATCTATTTAGAAAATAAATATCAAATTGAATATTAAGATCGTCATATATACATCTGCAATCCTTTGCATACAAAATAAACATGTGTGAGGATATGATTCTGTAATCCAAAATATGATGAATGATTTTTTTCCCAGTTACTCTTATAATAAAGCCTGATCTTTAGTTAGTGGAGGGAGCAGATAGTGATCTACCACTACCAGGACCTGCACTCAAACCAACTGATCACAAAGGGGTATTATACGCCTGGAAATGAGCACTTACTTTGATACATCGAGGAGAAAGTCATTCAATTCAGTCTGTTTTGCAAGACCTCTGCACACCTGCCGTATTAAAAAAAAAATAGAGTTTATTAGTTACTAATGATTTCTGTTTACGGAGAATAAAATGTCTAGAATACCATTAATAACAAAATCACTTGGTTTACAATATAATAATAACACTAATAATAATTACTATTTATTGAGTACTTAAATGTGCTAAACATTGTTTTAAGTATCTTATTTTTATTATCTCTGTTAATCACCATGCAATTCTAGAGGTTTGGGATTTGCACTTTGTGAGGCATAAAGACGTGTACAACTTTAGGATCCAGAAATAACATGTGGTAGAGTTAGCATTCAACTCCAGGTAGCCTACCCAAGTTGCTCTTTAAAACTACCTTATAATTAAAAAAAAAAAAAAAAACCTGTAGCTGGACACATATTCTACCTATATTTGATTATCCGAGAAGTCCTGGCTACTCATATTATTATCCTGCAACTCTTCTATTTCTATTAAACAGTTTCTCATCAACCTGAGTTTGCTGAAATGAAATTAGAAAACCCAAACAACCAATAAATGAATGAATAAATGAATGAATGGATGTTAGAGAAAGCAAAGACATAAAGTACTATATTGCTGCTATGTTCCTGAACCTTAAAGTCTAGCAATGAGGAAATTTGTGATTTTGTGATTTTAGTTAATTTGTGATTTTAAAAGTTAGAATTAATGCTTCACTTTTTGAGTTCTTTATATACCCTAGTACCCTAGAGATTAATGCTCTATCTGATGTGTGAAGGGTAAAGATTTTCTCCTAAAATGTAGGCTCTGTATTCACCTCACAGATTGTTTCTTTTGCTGAGAAGAAACTTTTTAGTTTGAGTCCATCTCATTTATTGATTCTTGATTTTAATTCTTGCACCACAGGAGTCTTATTAAGGAAGTTGGGGCCTAATCCCACATGATGGAGATTAGGATCTACTTTTTCTTCTATTAGACACAGTGTCTCTGGTCAGAATGGTAGTTATTATGCATATAAACAACAATAAGAGTTGGCGAGGATGTGGGGAAAAAGGTACATTCATACACTGCTGGTGGGACTGCAAAATGGTGCAAGTAATATGGAAAGCTGTATGGAGATTTCTTGGAAAATTAGGAATAGAACCACCATTTGACCCAGCTATCCCTCTTCCTTGGTCTATTCCCAAAGGACTTTAAAACAGAATACTACAGGGACATATCCACATCAATGTTTATAGCAGCACAATTCACAATATTTGAACTGTGGAACCAACCTGGCTGCCCTTCAATAGATGAATGGATTAAAAAAATGTGCTCTATGTATAATAAGAATGGTAATGCATTCCACTGTCATATATAAATTTAAAAAAAAATTAATACTTCACATACTATTTACTTTATAAAATAACTTAGAAAATAAAATCATAAAAATATCAAAGCAACTCTCAGTAGATTATCCCTAGGTTTTCAATGAGAAATAAATACCATAGCAGGACACATACCATTTATTGCATAAATGATTTATCATTTTTACSTATAAATATGCACATACATACATATATAAATATATACATACATGCAATCACAAGATGCTTAAGGCAGAGAGTAAGTGAATAGAAGATTAAATAAACATTTTAAGAAGTAATAAAATATTATAAAATCCCAAACTAAGCATGAAGTTACTTATTAACCTCTACTCCAGTCTCCAATCCTTCATTAAAAATAAATGGTCTCTCCTAGGAAGGCCCTGTAAAAACATCTCAAAGACTCACCTGCACCTGATGTATTGCTACTGAAGCCCAGGCAAGATTTGCTGTTGCAACCTAAAAACACAAATAAATAAATAAAACAAAATTTAAAAGCTCATATACATATATGCTTATATATTTATATAAAACAAGTTTTTAATTAGTCGTATGTAGGCATCTCAAAATGAAGAATTTTCTGAAGTTACTGAGCATTTGTATAGTTTGCCAAACACAAAATGCCAAATATTAACAAAGTTGATCTTATATTTCCTCTTCTATTTAAATGACTTTAATACTCTCTTGTCCATCCATGTTCCATATGTTAATCTTATATTTCCTCTTATATTTAAATGACTTTAATACTCTCTTGTCCGTCGATGTTTGATAAAATGGAACGTAACTGATTTTAAGAGAGCTATAGTCAAATAATTCCAAAATAAAGTGATTATTTTTCACTTTGACAAAATTACTATTGAAAAGATCTCTAAAGACCACTTTAAAATGGTGTGGCATTTCTTAGAAGCCAAAATCTGCGTATATACGTATTCTTCTTTCACCATTTATTCATTTAACAAATATTTYATGGGTGCCAGGGACTCTTCTAGGAGACTTATCAGTAAATAACAAGAACAACAAAATGGTTTTTAGTATCCTGGGGGAGAGGGCAAGAAAAGAGAAGAAGGGTCCTGGGGCGTGTATCAGTGACAGGTGCCACAGCGACAATGAAGCAGGGTGGAGCAAAGTGCCACTGGATGGAGCTATTTAAATGCACAGCAAGGGTTCAGGGCAGCCCTCCCTGAGGTGCTGAATTCTGAGGAGGCTCCTGAGGGAGGTGCTACAAGGGGGTTGGGGCCAGCACATGCCAAGCAGGGTCTCTGAGCAGCAGCCACAATGCCCAAAGGTCCAGTGTGTGAAGGAGTCAGGGATAGCAGGAGTAGCAGGAGATGGCTCACTCAGGCCAGGGATGGGGGGGTCAAGCTAGTGGGGACTTGATTCTTCCTGGACATGGGAGGCACACCATTTTCATAGAGGGGTTAGTATTAATGAGCTGATTCCAATTCAACAAAATGGAGAATAGAACTCATTGTTTTTCCTGACATATGTGACATTAGAAACTTTTCTCAGGACACAATCAAGGAAGAGGACATTTTTAAGAAGACAAACACAACAAAAGTGTAAAAAACTCCTCAAAATCATCCTACTACTTTGTTTCACATTACGACATACTTTTTATTATTAAAATGTTTTCTTATGGAAAAACTACATTTCTAATCTACTCAGTCTCTACTATAAATAACTGCAGGACAAAAAGCCCAGATCTTTATAAAACTACTAGTATTAGTATCAGTATCAACACAGTGTTAAGCAAATTGTGATTTCACATTTCCTTGGTGCCATCAGGAGTTGGTGGCCTGAAGTCCTAAGTGGCAGCTCCTCAGGCTCACCTCCTGATGACTGAGGCAGAAGGCTTCCTTGCCCCAGTGCCGATAGAGCTCAAGAATACCAATCAAATCGCCAATCGCAGTGACAATTGGCAAGCAGAGAACAGACTGGATGCGAGTCCCTGATTCCAGTCCAGTACCTCTTGGGAATCGTTCATCCTGAGAAGAGGAAAAAGACATAAATTCAGTGAAAGAAAAAGAATCATTATGTTATGGCTCTTATTTCCCTTGAAATAAGATATTTATTTCATGGAATGATATTTATAACTGATAATAAGCAGTCCTTTGCTAAGTGAAACCAAATCATGATAGTTACAATAAACCTGATTTTAAAAAAGATTATTTTTTGCAACCTATACCCCAATACTACTCCAATGTGTCTTTATCCTTGCATAGTATAAATTTAATAAATAAATGACGTGTTAATTTTGAGCAATAATAATAATGCAAGTAATGGCGAAGGCTGACATTTTTTCTTCTCATTCTATGCCAGAACTGTTCAAAGGCTTCACAGATAAAACATGAGAGTAAAAATTAATACCGATGTAAACACTGCATGAAGACAATTAAATGTAAACATTTCTTTTCTTCTATGTTTAAGGTTATTAARGTGCATGTTAATAAGTTATTCTCATTGAATCCCAAAGGCCCACATTAAGCATTTCAACATCTAACAATTATCAATTACATATCATAACAATAGAAACGTGCTCTCTGACTTTAATAATTTTCTACCTTAGCAAAATCACTCAAAGGAATTATAGGAAAATGGAATGAATTAATGCCCCCAAACACCAATTCTATGGGTTCAGTTTCTACTCTCTGTAGGAAGCTATTAGGCATGAATTAGAACTTTTTAGGAATCAAGAATAGTATGAATCTCTACTTGCAATTTACAGATCTTTTAAAATTTTGCATGTATAAAAGAACATTTTCAAATGAGAATCTATATAGAATCAACTTTTTAATCTCTCTCCTTCCTCAGTCTCTCATATTCTCTCTCTCTCTCTCTCTCTCTCTCTCTCTCTCTCTCTCTTTTCTCTCTTCTCTCTTCTCTCTTCCTATAAAGTAACCAGTTACCTGATTTTTTTTTCAAGGTCCTATAGTGGCAAAATCAACATTAAAACCCAAGTCTATATTCCAGTTTAAAGTCTGTACCTCCTTGTAGTAACATTTCATGAAAATGCCTGTGTGCACTTGGAAGGCTGCATTAAGGGTTCCAAYTTGTCATGTCTCTTGGCAGTCATGTTCTCTTTTACTGCCCTTGAACACCAGGTCTGGGCCTGCTCTTGTGATCTGCACTGGCTACTGGGAGGGCAGCCAGTCTGAGTTAGGCACATTTCCACTTCTTCCCTGGCACTCCTGCTACCATCCTAAGAACATACCAGGTTAGTCTTACCAGAGGAGAGGGAGAGATAGTGGAGAGGTGAGGCCATTGCAGTCAGCCAGCAAGTAACTTCTGGCCAACAGCGAGATCAGCTGAAGGGGACAGTGGAAGCTCACAAGAAATACCAAGTGGCTACTATATGGTGCCACTAAAATTTGGGGTGATTGGTCATGAGGCAAGAGCTAACCCATTTATGTATACCCTGGCAAGATTTGAAGCATGAAAGACTGATCATTTCATTTATATTAAATATAATACATGGATATTAACATATACATGAGGTTTAATCATATTGCATGTACGGAAGCATGCAGTCTTCAAATCCAACTACTAGTGAGTATACGACAGCTAATTTCCTGGTGAGGCACAGTGGTGCAGGCCTGTGGTCCTAGCAACTTGGAAAGCTGTGGCAGTAGGAGTGCAAGTTTGAGGCCAGCCAGAGCAACTTAGCAAGACTCGGTCTCAAAATGAAAAATAAAAAGGGTTGCACGTAGTTCAGTGGAAGAGCATCCCTGGGTTCAATCCCCAGTACCTACCACCCCCAACACCAAAAGATTTGATTTTCTGCATATAAAAGTTAATTTATATATGAATTCATTTAATGAATCTTTAATTTTTTAATGAAATGGCTCAAATTATATGTCACAATGATATATCATCTTAATTGAATCTTTCAGACTAAAAMTGTCACACAGAGTTAAAAGCCCTTTACCCCAAGGATGTCCTCTACAAGCAGTGTTTTCCTGGACTTGGCCACATAAGCAGAGATGGTGGTGCCCTGGGTAATGGGCCCGGCAGGGATGAGTCGGGGTTTTCCTTCCTTTATCCCAGGTGGTGTGAACACACACAGACTCTAGGAAGAAGAGAAGAACATGTTTTATAGGCTCTCCTGTACCTTCACACAATATGGAAAGCACTCTTGGGAAGTCTGTGAACCCGTTAAACAGACATGAAAGGAGGAGAGGTGCATTGCTTTGAACCAGCTGGAGCAAGTAGGGTGAACTGTTGCTCCCGGGACTATTTCACACAATGTACAGGTGGAGATAGGACTTAAAGGATGTGCAGGCACAAAAACCTCGTAAAATAGCCTCTATTTTGGTACCTGAAATGTGGAAAATGAGAAAAAGGGCTCAAGGTTCTACCCTACCACGAAACYAATACTGGATCCCACTCCTTTGGGACTGGACAGGTATACCTGAAGATAGATCAGCAGCAAGGGGTTTGGTTACATTTTTCATTATCAATATCATTTCCTTATTTATCATTATCATTTCTTTCCAAGATTTTTTTAAGGCTCAATTATTCACATTGCTTAAACTGACTATCCTAAAAAATTATAGATTCAGAATATTCTCAATGAAAAATCTGCCCTTCTCTGAAAAACCAATCTTGGCAGTCTTTCCAAATGACTGAGTGGAAAGCAGTTTTTAAAAAATAAATCCATTTTAAAATACTGAAGATCATTTATTTTGATAAAATCCAATCACATTTTTAGATTGTCAATTGACAATCAAAATAACTCATCTAGGGTTGGCAGGCAGTGTTGTAGTGTGGTGGGTTGGCATCAGGGTTACTACTCACTCCAAAGATGCTAAGGTTCAGGTAAACTGCCCCTAAACTTTATTTACCCTCCTCTTGATTGGACTGTTGTAACTYAATGGTTAAAGACTGGCAGCAGAAGGTACCAGAGGATCCCCTTAACCTAAACACACTCCTACAACTACTTACTGTGACTGAGGTAGTTCTAAGGGTGAGACACTCAGATAAATGCTTTTTAAAAATATTTTTTAGTTGTCAATGGACCTTTATTATTTTTATTTATTTATATGTGGTGCTGAGAATCAAACCCAGTGTCCCACATATTCTAGGCAACTGCTCTACCACTGAGCCACAACTCCATCCCTAAACACTCTTAATAATTTATCAGAGAAGTAGTTTTTAAACTCTGTAATATTAAAAACTCTTTTGGGGGGTATCTTTCAATCACAGGAATGAATGAACCCTATAGACCTGAGCTCTTTGGCTAAGTCAGTAGGGAACAGGAAAGCAAAATTTAGTATTAACCCTGGCAGCTTTAAATGTAGTACCATTAAAAAGGACCAGTGCATAAATTCAAAATACTTATATTCACAAGAATTAGGACTGTGCTTAAAGAGTACTTGCTATTAAATACAATGCATGTGAAAAAATATATTTAAATGGGTCTTCTAAATAGGATTAAACTTTAGGTATTTAAGAACAAGGTATACTCTTAGATATCAAAAATCTAAAGAGATGATACAGTTTTACCTTATTCATTTTTTAAAAGACTAGTAATCAGTGCCACTGTTTTTAAAGTTAATATAATTCCATTATATACCAATATATGTGTGGCAAAGAAGAAGTGAGRCTATGATTAGATTTCTGTTTATCATTGGCCAAATACAAGCCAGGTATATTCTTACAAGTGAGAGGAGGATAGAAAAAGGATTCAGGAGCAGGAAGAAGAAATGGTTGCAAGAAAAAACTACAAGGCTGTATGTGGTGTGGTGGCATTTGGGTTACTACTCACTCCAAAGATGCTAAGGTTAACCTAAAAAAAAAMMCAAAAAACCACAGTATTGCCAATATTTTCTCAAACTGCGAGAAAGTTAGTTATGAGAAGGATGCTGAGCAACTGTTCCTTTTCTCCACCAAATACAAAATTGCAGGAAATGCACTTAAATTGAACCGAGGGGTTCAGATAACTCGTAATGAAGAATGTCCTATGAATACTAATGGAAAACACGATCTGCAGAAAGCTTCCAACAGTAGCTGTGGTTTTGATTTTTGGTTCTTTCAGTCATAGTGTTGGCTCTGTTTGTTGAAGACATGTAACACACATCGCTTTTGTATGACTCAGCCTTCAGTCTTTAAGTTCAAATTTAGCTGTATATTCAAGTTATACTCAGCTACATAATTCAAAAATGGTAGAATATATTATATGTTCCTAAAATTATTAAATAAGCATTTTTTTAATATTATAATRCACTTTCTGCCTCTACGTAGGGTTTCTATAGGAAGCACAAGAAATAGATAAGCAAAAATTGTACTGCAGGGTATGTGGGAAGCCATTTCATAGATTTTTAGGCTTGCTGGAAATGAAAGGTTGAAAAATCTTTCAGTTCTGTCCTATACCTGCATCTTCTCCATGCAGATAACAAATTATCAAAAAGTAAACAATTCTACTTGTATTGCTAATAAGTTCATGATTTCTGTTCTGTTCGTATATTTATAAAACGGAAATGTTTCCAACGAAGATCTGAGAGGCACTGTTAACAGAATATTGAAAACACTGCAATTTAAATGCCAAAATCTCTGGCAGAAGGGAAAATGAGGGGCAGCCTAGGAACACACACCTGGCTCTGGTGCATTTCCATACCTACACACTCTCTCTTTGTATTAGTGGCTCCCTATTCTTTTTTTTTTTTTCTTTCTTTCTTTCTTTAGTTCACTTCACCTGTTCAACATCTCCTGTCAGTTCTGATTGAGGATTATTCACTGGTTAGAATTTCATGTTTTGGCACAATACAACCTTTATGGTTTTTGTAGTTGAAAGATATTATAGGTAGTTACTATAGCAAATAAAAAATACCAATAATGAACCTCTAAATCAGGGCTGACTATTACACATATTCAGGGTTGGGAAAAAGCTGATTAAATCTATCCTTATTTATTTCACAGAAATTGTCCAATGGAAAGCCACATATTGAACAGTTGCCTTTTCCCACTGATAAACTGGCACATTTGACATACACTGAATCTTCTCAAACACGTGGGTTTGTTTTGAAGTCTCAATTCTCTATCACTAGAGAATTTCATTTGTGTAACACACTGTTTAAATTACTATAACTTAAAAGTAAGTTTTGTGATTTGGCAAGGCAAATCTCACCTTAGTTCTTAATATTTCAAAATAATCATAATTTACTTTATAAGATATATTTTGCATTTTTCATTGGTGAAGGGTCTGCATTAATGCATTAATAATGACTGTAAATAAAATTCTTTAAAAAATTTCACAAAGGAGATGGGGAGTTCACTTTTCAAAATCAGTCAAAATAATTTTTGAATAAGGATTTGAATGGGATATTCAGATCAAAAAGATAACAAAAAAACGTTATATATTCATTATTTTCATAGGAGGATAAATGAAAACATCACCAAACAACATTTTGTAACATGGTAAAACTCTCATGTACATATATGTTCATAATGTCCAATTTACCTATAAGATCCATTTTTAAATGAAATGGGAAAATCTGATGTTTCACCTGATAAACATATGCTGGCATCTTTTTTTCCATACACAATTCAAAGATCACTTCACAAAATTTCATTTTACTTCCACTCCTCACCAGTTAAATTTTAGAAATATTATTTTAAAAAAAATATATATATATATATATATATATATATATATATATATATATATATATATATATATCTTACTGTTATTTTCCCTAATAGACACTAGATGGCACTGGATAGTAAACAAATGTAGATTCTGTGCCCATGACTGACTGTGAGCAACTCCTCCCCCACTCTTATCTGGTCTTGAAATATGGACAGCTAATTTTGCACAGTTCTTAAAAATAGACCTGCTAGAGTTTATTATGTAGTTGAAAAAAATCACACAATTACTATAAGCCACCAGATCTAAGTACAAAGAATGCAATATTTTCAGGCAACTTTTTAAAATTGTTACAGATAAATTTGGATTCCTTTGCTCTCCTTTTTTTGTTGTTTTTTGGTTTTTGTTTTTCTAATTTGTATCCCCAAAACTAATTGAAATGTATTCTTCCCAGTCTTGGAGTAATAATAATAAAGTAATATAAAAGTGAAAAAGTCTATGCACTTAGAAGAGGTATGTATTGGAGTAGAAAGAGCACATCTGGTCTTTGTGAAAAGCACAGAAACTTTGGAAGAGAGCCTCTGGAATCACACTCCAGACTTCAGGTTTTGACTAGGAGCTGTATGAATCTGGACAGTCACTTAACCGTACTAGATACCTTGGTTAACTCATTAGTAAAACGAAAAAATTTGATTATTTTCAAGTGTCTCTTTCAGCTTAATAGTCTATGAATCTAAGGGTTTTACAGGCATCTAATTGTTCACGTTCACAAATTTTTAAAGAATAACAACTGTTAAACTAAGCTAAATAATAAACCCTATAAATTAGGTAGAGGTTACTTAAAAATAATCAATATATGAAAAACTTTCAGTGGCCTTTTAAATTGAAATTTTTAAGAGTTCACACAGTTTATGGCTTTTGTAAGCAACTCATGGATAACACAAGAGAAAGTATACTGATGATATAAAGCATGCTAYATATCATATATGGAATATATGATATTGGACTGTGTGACTAGTATAAATRAATGAAAATATTAAAACTGAAGCAAAAATTTAATTATAGAAAATTATTTTTGTTCAAAACATATCTCAAGGATACCTCGTTTATTGTCAAACACTGTTATGTGTCCAGATACAAAATAATATTGTTTCTTTGAATAGCTCCAGATTTCTCAAATACTTTCTTTTGCCCTCTTCTTATCTACTATGTGAAAGGTCTTCAAATACACACTCAGTCTGTTTTTACATGATACAATCCCTTCAAATTCAAGACCCCAGTGCACCCACCATGAACTGCTCACTGTTAGCATGTAGGACCATGTACTGGGAAACTGCTGATTTCTTTCTCTCCCGTACTGGTTATACATTTTGGGGCAGAGCAGTGAGTTTTTATTTATATTTATATGCTCAGCAGTTTAGCACAGTTTTTTTTGTACTTAGCATTTGTTTAAAATGATTTGTTGAACAAACAGCATCCTTGAT